AACGGCTACCACAAAATGAATTACATATGAAATCCCCAATACCAAAACCGAAACATAGTTGACATTAGTTAGTTCCTAATTCCCTATATACAGGGTGTCCCAAAAATTCATAGTTCAATAAAAAGTCTTGAAAACTTGGGGCAGTTATGTTATTATTTTGACTGTGGCCCTAGAAATGTTATTCAGAGCTACAGTTCCAAATTTTAATAATTGAACAAAATTAATAAAAATCAACCACAATAACTGAAAAATTGATCATAATTTCACCGAAGCTCTAGGTTGCACTTAAAAGCACATAATTTCCGAACACCGTGAGCTTTTTTTTCTAATTTTTTCAAGACAATTCAAATCAATACTATCAATTATCATTTCTCGCACACCCTGTATAAAGTTTTTGGATACGGAACCGTCAATCTATATTCCACAAGGGGAAAACAGCTGTGACACAGATGATAGGAGGACGAGTATAAAAATCATATTAATACGATTCCGATACGCAACTTATATAATACATATATATTATTATACCATATTCGGAATTGAGGCCAATTCTTGTTCGAATTGTACATGATTATTAATGTATTACCTATAGCATTTGATATAAAGCGAGTACCTGCGTTAACAATGAAAATAAACTTCAAAATCAATAAAGTATACACTGTATACACAATATATTTATATTCCGACATACGAAACGAAAATTGATGGCAGAGAATGATCATGCGCATGGGAAGTTAGTTGAGGAACATTATATGGATAGAAATACATTTTTAAAATCCAAACATGTGTAAAAATAACGCTAAAATTTTTAAAATTTACTTTTGTTGTGAATTCACATTTAACGAGTAATTGATGAATATATTTAAAGGCTAGTCTACACATTACAAAACGCAACAGCAACCATTAAATAATGTTTTTGTTTTTGAAAACAGTATTGCACATATCTAAATACCATCGCAAACAAAAATAAGCTATGATTTTTTTCTTGTAAAAATAATTAAATTATAATAATTATTATAATTGATTAACTTTCCGGAGGGTAAAAGTTATAGTATTCGCAAAAAAATCGAAAATGAAAATTTTTGAATATCTTTACGTTTCAGAGGTTTTTGAACATTTTGGCATACCTTAGAAAAAATAGATGTATGTATGTGTGTATATGAATCTACAAACTGTTTTGAATTCCAAAAAATGCCAAAAATTCAAGTTTTTACATAACGGAGCGTCCGATTTGAATGATTCAGAAAACATTTTATTTTTATTGACAAAATGAAGAACTGATGCAATATTTGGAAAGGCAGATCTAGCGGTTTCTGAGATCCAATATAAAAAGTGACAAAAAAAAAATGACACTTCGTGGCTAAAAATGGTCATTAGGCATATGCACATGAAATTATCAGATATTTTATAGAGATTTTAATAATAAAAACAAATTTTATTTATATTTTTTATTGCGGCGCTTCCGCGCTTCGATATTTCATCCCTAAGCAGCTAACGCAGCGCGATTGTTTTGAAACAAGATTCAAAATTTCTAAAATAATAATTCAAAGTTCTATAAAATCTAATTTATCCAAAGTTACAAAATAAAATATTTTCATTCAAAAGTTCCTGCAATTTGCCTTAAGGCACAATGCCATGCACCAGTAGTTTATGTTTTTCAAATATATGATACTGAAACATTGAATTTTATCAATATATATGGACGCCTAATATCCCATTATTGGTGACCCCCCTCATAACACGGTACTTTTAAAGCACGGATTCGCTATAACACGGTTTAGAAATTGAGCAAACCACTAATAAATTAAGAAATACCTAAGACTTATGAAAATCAAACTTTATCTAATCTAAAATTAGTAAAATCACCATACAATAGCTCAATAAACGTGATGAAACTAGTGCAAAAGATAACTAATTTGATATTTATTATTCAAGCGAGTACGCTCTATCAAAGAAAAAATCAAGGATTATCCGAATAATATATTTCATATTTCATAAACAAAGATCCTTTAAATAAAATGACAAATAAAAGTTTAATGCAAGGTTACCAGTATTTCAATTTTGTAAAAAGAAACATATTTCTCACCTATTAGCAGGGCAACTTATTCTGATATGAATTAAAATAGTTTTATGGAAAGTATGGCAAGTAAGTTTTATGAAAAGAAAATTAACTAGCGTCTGCCAAATGTGTGTTTCCATCAATATGGGATAAAAAATGCATGTTTTACTATAAAGAAATGAAACATGACCAAATTATTTTGTTTTTCTAGTGTAGACTTTGGTTCACTTTATTTATTTAATAGTGTTTGTATATAATTTTTGTCACGGACGTTGTTATCGTTTCAAGATCGACAATAATATTGAACACTTATGTGAATGTAAATATTTACAAATGTATGGGGATATGGCATTGTAAGATATATTTCGGTTTAGTGTCTAGTTAAATACTATAATCATTGTCAACATTAGTATTCAAAGTAATAAAGAAAAAGTGGACTAGAATAATGTCTTGTAAATATTTGTTAATTGATGAATTAGTCGATATACTCAGATCGACTTCTAACCATTAGTAGAAATAAAATCAAACCAAAATAAATGATTTCACTAGAAAATTTAATAACAGACGAAGAGATGGTTCTGGCGGATTATTTAAAATAAATTGATCACTTTAGAGTTCCATTACATAAATTAATTGGAAAATCCAGTCGGGTATAATCACATTAATTAAAGATCACAGCTTTAAGGGTATTTTGTTTCAAATGACTATTCCATTCATAATATCTCATGACACTTTATTAAAATAATTTATTTTACAAGAAACCCTTATCACAATTCACATGGTTATCGAATCACTATCCCAAACATTTGTTCAAAGTTCAATATAACAAAACCACAACTATGAATCACATCAGCAGAAAGAGGAAATAAAATTTTGCAAATCGAAGTTCAACATTTTTATCACAAACGAATATAAAACAGGTTCCATTTGCAGGAAATGATATATCCTCACAAATAGAACAATTGACGTATATTTTATACACTGAAAACCATTGACCTGAAATATTATTATAGAAGTGAAAGATTCAAAGTCTTGTTTGGAACAAATTTAATTCATCATACAATAGTAATAGAGATGGTACATTTTATATCTTTGTTTTTATAAATATATATAAAAATAAATAAAGATTTAGCAAAGAATTATTCGTTAACTAATCGTTCACTACTTTTAACAATACGATTTTATATTTTTTGGCATTTTGCTAATAATTCAATAAGGTGCGGTAATTGTTCAAATTTAAGATTATCCACATCAGACTTGAAATAAACTCAGATTATCCCATTTATCTAATTATTACAAAGGTTAATATAACAAAAATATTTACATGTTCGTATCAATGATTATTTAACAAAACGAAATGTGAGATGTGAATAAACTCGAATCAAACAATAACCAAATGTGCTTAATTATTTCTACAATAAAGTTGATCTTACGAGACCTACACCAATTTTAATACATATTTTTTTGGGGTCTCTTTTCATGTAATCATGATTTTGTGTTTGTTTTGATGATACCAAAGACTGGCAAAATCGAAAATAAAACGCATGAAGTTGTCATTTTTAACAAATATTTACAAGTCAAATAATTACAAGTTTGATTTTACGCGATTTATCTTGATATGACAATTTCAGTTATACTATTTTTGTAGAACAAATAAAACTTTACACAGCACCAAAATACTTTTAAGAAATTCATTTAACACACATTCCAAGTTTATCATAATATTTAACATACATAAATGCGAGAGGCATTCAAAATTAGATTCACCATTTCTCAAACAATTATCAATCAAGATTTCATTAAGAGACATTCATCATATACCGTCATTAAACCTAATAGTTTTGTTATTTAGAAACTAATATTCAACATACATTATTACAAACTAAATTTTTTTAAGTTCAGATTTATAAGCGTAATAGAGCACATTTCACTAGTCATATATAGATATTCACAGATACATATTATACACATACAAGTATATATTTTTACGCTTCTCATATGCAGAATATATACAGATATATGTATACAAAGAAAAAATAATGTGTAAGTGTATTTACAACAAAAACGAACAAAAAATTATTTAAATTCAGTTCTATATATGTTTCACTAGAAAAACATCGCGCATTTTCCCCAAACTTGTTATGCATGAATCCTTTATCATCATATGGTATTCAGTTCTTTAACACACATTCCAAGTTTATCATAATATTTAACATACATAAATTGCGAAAGGAATCAAAATTAGATCACCATTTCTCAAACAATATCAATCAAGATTTCATAAGAGACATTCATCATATACCGTCATTAAACCTAATAGTTTTGTTATTTAGAAACTAATATTCAACATACATTATTACAAACTAAAGTTTTTTAAGTCAGATTATAAGCGTAATAGAGCACATTTCATAGTCATATATAGATATTCACAGATACATATATACACATACAAGTATATATTTTTACGCTTCTCATAGCAGAATATATACAGATATATGTATACAAAGAAAAAATAATGTGTAAGTGTATTTACAACAAAAACGAACAAAAAATATTTTAAAAATTCAGTTCTATATATGTTCACTAGAAAAACATCGCGCATTTTCCCAAACTTGTTATGCATGAATCCTTTATCATCATATGGTATTCAGTTCTCCGTCCAATGTTAACGGTACGAGTTACGAGTACGGACGAATACACGAGTACGGGCGACCATTTGAATGCCGCTCGTGCGATTTCTGCCGGACTCGTACGAACTCGGCCGAAGAATCGTGGATGGAACGAGATAAATGGATCAGACTATGATACGGAATCACACGGGTCGCGCACACCTCTTTAATTTTATACACAGCCATTGTCGCTCATCGCATTGCCATTGCATCGTAAACAATAACAATAGAAAAACATTGCGATAATAATTTAACCTACATTGACGCCCTATTCACAATTCGAGCCGGCACATTCGTAGCACCGGGCTCATGCACTCCTCGTCGGATTCGTAGAAGTAGCGCTGTTTGGCCGAAAGTCCTTGCTGCAACCTTCGGACGGCTTCCTTAACTAACGTATTGTTATCTATAAGTGCTTGTAGCAATTCGTAAGGATCCTCTTCCTCCTCCCGTTGCTTTTTACTTTTAATGGCCGCCGCGTCCTCGCTCCAGGACCGGCAGGGTATGTGATAGGGCGTCGATCTCCTCACGGGCGTTTTGAGGCTGGATTTTGCTTTGAGTGCTACATTTCGATACCTCAGGTTTTCTTTTATCTCGCTGACAATGTCTTCGACAACGTGGACATTCGTTACCAGCGACCCTGCGGTCGACTGCTGTTTGGTCGGCATATCGCCGTTATCCGTTGAATCCAATGCGGCGCTGGTTGCACAACTGGTTGAATACAGTCTACAAAATGGCTGTAGACCTCCACTGATAATAAACGGATTGTGCGAGGAAGTAATCAATCACACGTTGGGCTTATCCAAGAAAAATTCAGGCCAACACTGTTTTACAATTTTATTAAATCACACTGGGAGTTTTATCACAGACTGTTGCTTTGTCACCTCCAAAGTTACACTTAGATTGTTGTTTAGTTGCACTTAATGTTTGTTTATATGCTGTATTTGTATAGCATATATTTATGTATTTTTTTAGTCCAAATGTACGTCTTTACTGTACGACGTTTCTCAGCAGACTGAATCTATAGGAGAACGGAAATGATAGTCTGGCCGTAACAAAACAGTGCGCAAGCTCGCATGTATTTGTTTTGATTGAAGAAAGGTCCCCTACCAAAACTCGGTGCGAGCAGGCTACAATGTATACGGCCGTCCCGTTCGCTCCATTCCGCTTGTAAACAAACCGTAAGGAGACTTCACCAAGTAAACACTACAATAGAGCAGTGGTGGCCAAACTAAATATCGCGCAAAATTATGCACACTCAACGACATACAAATTGATACCAGTTCAACCCGGATTAATCTGGATGAGAGGTAAAGTAGATTATTAGATACAAAACAGATACTGTGGATTACGAAATTAGATACTGTGACCAGCGACAAACAATTTTTAATGTGAGTTGATAATCTTAAAAAACTTTAAGGATCTGATTAATTATATATATAAAACAAATTGGGCAAATTGCTTGAATTTTCCGTGCCGCAATTTGTAATTTTTATTTTAAAATCTTTATTTTAAAATAGAAATGGTGGCGGGATTAGCTCAAGAGTAGCGTTCCCGATTCAGATGCTGGTGGTTCCGAATTCGAATCTCTGGCAAGAATTTGAAAAAATATTAACTAGTTAAGTTGGAATAATAATAGAATTATGAATTGTAATAAAAAGATATGTATATAAAATCAAAATGTATAAAAATTAGAGAATTAGTATTAAAAATGAATTGAAGTAGAAAGAATTTAGAAGAAGAAATGAGAAGTATAGAAGAAAAAGAAAAATGTGGATAGAAGATGAAATGAGAAGATAGTAAAGAAGAATGAAGATAAGTTAAGAAGTATAGAAAAAAAGAATATGATTATATGAAGAAGATTGTTTAAAATTGAAGATTGTGTAAAATAATGTAGGTGGCTAAATGCTCGAGTAAGAGAGGCCAATAAAAATAAAATTAAAAAAAAAAAACATTTCTATGTTTTTATTGATGTAAACAAAATTTGTACTATTTCCTATGAAATCTGATAATTTGATATGCAAATATCTAATGCTATTTTTGACTGCCAAATTGTATTTTTTTAACCTTTTTTATTCGATCTCCAAAACCGCTGAACCTGACTTCCCAAAACAATTATGATAAACTTTCATTTTATCAATACAAGTAAAATGTTTTTTTGAATCATTCAAATCAGACGCTCCGTTTTCTCTCAAACATTAAAATGCAATTGTTTCCACTTTTAGGCCCCGTATCTCCGAAACTGCTGGACCTGCCTTTGCCAAAGACTTATTCGCACATTTCCCCATCAATAGGAATGGAATGTTTTCTGAATCATTCAAACCGGTTGATCATTGTATATTTTTCTGAATCATTCGAACCGGTGCTCACGAAATCGTGGACAAAAAATTGTATCCGCACATACAAGTGCGCGCATGCACATACACACACACATTACATTTTTTTCTAAGATGTGCCAAAATGTTCAGAAACCTTCGAAACTTTTTTTTGCTATTACTGTAACTTACCCGACGGCAAGTTAAAAATATTAACTCGAGCTAGAAAACTTCTGCACTTCTAATGAGAATAAAAATATTAAGATTTTGAATTTGGTTTACAATAAGGCATTTGAATTTCTATAAAACGCTAATGCGCGTAAACATTATCTTTTAGGAATGTTAATTTAGCGCTTTTTAAAATTCTGAAAATTTAGTCAGCAGTTATTAACTGTTATTAATGATAACTAACAATAACCAAGTACTTGCTAACAAAATATATTTTCAAAAACAATTTATCATGATTATCTAACAAAAATGCTCGTAGTGTACCTACTCATTATGGGAATTACTGAATTATTGATTTAGTGTCGGGTTACAATAACAACAGATGTGAATACGGAAAAGTCCCTTTATACACCCCACAATTCTATTTATATCATAATACTACAGCACACGAGTAAATTATAATTTTAATTTTAAACGTCTCTTTAATGAAGTTGATTTTAATGAAATTAAAAATAAAGCAATGAAATCGTTTGCAATAGAAATATAATGCAACATCTTCATACTATTATCATACTTTGATTTGTTACATATCAACTATCTTTATTTTTTTTCTTGATTGTGATTTTGAATACCATCACTTTTAACTTATAGATTATATTGTAATCGGATTGTTAAAATTAGCAAAAATAAAAAAAAAATCAACTTCTTTTTTTCTGGTTTTGCTTCAAACTAACAGAAAACATTCATTAGAAATATTTATAAAAGTATAAATGTGAAATCTTACTTAAATTCTGATTAAGAAATGTTTCAAAAGGATCGAGAAGAACTGATCAGCATTATTGGGAACAGATAAAAAACAAGTATAAATGGTGTTCTTAGAAGAAAGAGCATTTCAATGTATTGAACAAAATGTTAAATCCACGCCTCGTCATTTCTGTTACCATCTGTTGATTTGAATAATATGTTTCTCATGAGGATAAAAAAAATTAAGTATCAGAGCCGCAATTTTGAAAAATAATAATTCTGAATCTTTGTATGGTACACTGAAAAATTTCGAGAAACCAGAGCCACAATTTTAGGCTTTTTTGAAAAATAATATTTTTGAATCATTGTATTGCGTATGTAATAACTATACATTGAAAAATTTCGAGGTACAACTTTACACGTGCTCTGAAAGATAATAAAATTCTTTATACACAAACATATTTAATTAATCACCCGTTTGTTTCATGACGTGATAAATATGAGCCAAGTAAATATTTTTTTGAATGTTAATATTATATGCGGCGATAACCATAATGTTGACATTGACTCATTGTTAGTCTTGGCGCCTGTGTCTGCCTTATCAGTTTTTTAACTGAATTTATCTCTAGATATGTATGTATTCCTACTGTAAATGTTCCATTTATTAGAGAATTATAAATTATTAATCATTTGGAAAAACAATTCATGTGCAGTTATCACCTGTATTAAACCATATGCATTAATCATGAGGTTAAAAATAGGTTTGGAAAATAAATTTGGAGTATTGCAGGTAATCGATGGAGTCGACGGTTAACCTGTTTATATACTTGATGAGTATTAATCATAAAAATTAATATCATTATACATTTATGACTCAAATGGATATATAGTTTGTGTGAGACATATTTGGAAAAAATGATGAAGTCTGAAGAAATGTTTCTAGTTGGTGCACTTTGGAGACTTTACCAAATGTGATTAATGATCAACTAAACATTGACATTTTTAACCACCAATAAGTGAAAAAAAAACATAATACAAAAAGACGTCGTCGACATTAACACAATCAACGATGAAATATATGAACACATTCAGACAATTACAAAAGCAGCATCGAGGATCATCCAAACACACTTTGCCAGAGAACTACGCCACAACACTGCCAGGGCTAGATTGAAAAAGATATTTATGTTATATCAATATACGTCAATTTTTCAAAATCTCTGTAATGGTCAGTAAATTTTGTATTTCTAAAGTATTTTATTTTTAAATCCTTCAAATTTACTCGCCATCCATTTCAGGACAGGTGAAAAAATTACTATATAAAAAAGGGAAAAAATAAATTGTAACCAATACTTGAAATAAGGAGAAATATTATTTTAACCATTGCATTTAGGAAAGTTTATTTATACCCAAATTCAAATATTTATTATTGTTAATTATGTCAGTGCCATGTGAAAGAGTTGGTTCTCATTGTTGTTTACATAGAATTTTTTCGCAGTCATATTTGTATTCAATACAAATGAACTTTGTGTTCTCATCATATTAACGCTGAGACATCAGAAATGAATTTCATGCAAAAACAGATATATATTGCATCATGCAAAGGAAATTTTTGCCTAATATTTTTATTGTTTATAGTGGTTTTTAGAAGGCAACCCAATGGTTGACCTATCTATTTTTGATTAATTTGTTAGATTAAATACGAGTACTTTACAACTTTTTCATTTTGCAGCAATGCCGGACAAGGGCTACTTTCATATATAGCTATTTATTTGTCAGTATAAAATAAATTGCTTGCTCGTAAGTTAAATTAATATATATATATATATATATATATATCCCGGTTTACAGCAAATACCAACATTTAATCATCGCATGAAAAGGCATTAACATAATGCCTACAAAATTAAAAAAAAAATACAATACAGCATCATGGTATTTTTTTTTCTTAAGTATATTAGACAATAATCTGAGGACACTGAAAATGAATTAAGTTATATTCTGTAGTTGATATAAATAAATGCTGGAGCAAACAGCAAAATATTCCAGGAGTATCTCGATATATGAAAATCGATAATTTTATGAAACTATTTTTTTTCAGCGTATATATTAAATTTAGATAAAATATATATTAGCATTATAACAGCTTATAGAATATCAAAATTCTAATGCTTTCCAGAATAAAAAACAAAATGTTCAATTTCCAAAAAATTAATTACTATTATTACTATTACTATGCAAAACAAATTTGTGGAATGTATACTCATGTTATTTGGTTAAATGTATGAAAAGCAAGTTACACACATAATTTTTCCACTTGTTGTCAAACCATTATTACGACAGCAAAAAGATAATATCCGTGAACATTTACGTGAATAATTTCATAACGGTAAATGAAACCATATTTTATTACTCGATTCAAGTAAGATACATGCTCTTACCATGAAAAACAAATAGCATTCTACATTTACCATAAACCAGCAACGCAAATTAAACCGTTATATTCAATATGAAATAATGAATCACAACATAAATAGCCTTTATGAATCATAAGAATAAATAGTTGAAAATTACTTACATCGCTCAACTTAGTCCGAGTGCATTTATAATCCAATTTGTCACTGACACACCTGGAAAAGGAAGAAAATAAATCAATAGTAAATGATTATAGCAAATGATTATTATAAACAAAGGCATATTTAAATTAATAATAAAAACAACAATAATGTCGGTTATCTATCCTTATTTGGTCAACGATTGTGGTATCGGTATTGCAACGAAACTTTCTCTCCATTCAAAGCAATGGCTGGCGCGGT